ATTTAAAATTGGGAACTCTTAAATGTGAACAGCCACTCAACTGTGACATCCAATGTGTGCTTGTTATTAAACAGATTAAACTACGATAATTTTTATGTTTCTACATGACATTTATCAGGATGGTTCAATAGAAACTTGTACAGAGCATGCCAGTTGCAAGTACTGTATCATGCAATTTCATGATTCAATTAGTTGTATTATAAGCATAAGCACAACTGTTCCACAGAGTGTTGTGTGACAATCTAGAATGGCACATCACTTGCTAACATCTCCCCAAGAAAGATCAGCATTCGGTGGTTCAGTCTTTGAGTGGACATGGTTGTCAACCAGTGCAGACTCATTGGTGGATGCGCACCATGAATGGCAATGCCTGTATGTCAGAAAGAATGGTGAAAGGCCGGTTCGGACAGCTGTATGATCAATGCATGCCCTCATACAGTGAACACCGCCAAGACCAAGATGCACTACATGCGTTGGGAAGTACTGGAGCATCTGGCTTTTCTAGAAGGCACTCAAGGGATGTCAGTTTCAGGTGGATGTTCAAGTGAAACAAGCTGTTCCAAACTTTTTCCAGTGGCAGCCTTCAGCATTCTTGAAGAAAGGCATGCAGCACTTGGTGACTAAGTGGGACACGAGTCTGAACGTGGGCAGTGACTGAGTCAGTTCAATAGATACTATGTAATTGATTCCAGGTAGGTTTCTATTTGATCTGCCACCTACAATCCTGGCTGCAATAAAATTATTTTTTCCCCTTCAGCTGATGAATAATTACAAAGAACTATAAAATAACCACATAACAATTTAGTCTTATTTAGATTATTCTTTTGCTTCAGTATCAGAAATGTATGCATTGCTAACATAATGCTAGAGTAAACCTTAATACATAAAAGATTCCAAAATAAATACTTACTTGACCATCATTATAAAGTTGCAATGAAACACAAATCATAAGGAGGGAAGACCAATACAATCAAATGGAGTTTGTGAAATAAAAATTCAATACTTTACAAAATTTTAAATAAGTAATTAATTGAACAAATTTCAGCAGTAAGAGACTTTATACAACATTACAGAATAAATTGGAGACAACAGAGAAAATCAGTTTACAAGATGCCACCAAAAACTATAAAACATCAATCCAGAACAAGATGGATATCAGAAATATGGAAAGATTTAATAATAGGCCTACCTGTAACAGAAAAGGTAGCCAACAGTAAAAACGATGATGTCAAATTTGTGGGGTTCTGTCTGAACTACTATAAAATTAGTACCCTTTCATTATCTTCCATCATTTTACTTTTAATTTAGGACTGTGTAACTTCCACTTGCTGTCCCACGATATTACAATACATTTAAGTGGCGATATTGGTCTTGGTGTATGCAATATCTTGGGACATTAGTTCCATTATACCTCAATTTCATTTCTCACCTCACAAGTACAGCAAAAGTGATCCGCCTGATGCCTCTCTTCGCAAGTTCTTCCCGAGTATTACTGCAGAAGCCCCCAAACATTCGGCTCAAAGTGGAGTCATCTGTATCTCCTTTGTCCATTATACCCACACTCAAGATATGGATGGGTTCAGTTTGCTGTCAACAAAAACCACACTTACAGTGCTAAGTGTACCACTAAAAAACACACTTGCAGTAAAATCATAATTTAACAACAACAGATTTACAATTTTCCTAAAAGAAAAACCTTTTGTTACATTAAATTAGATAAAAGTACAAAATATCAATCATAGGAAGATGATCAGACCAATCACTGAGAATACTTATTTTTTTCATAATGCCCAGAATGGGCAAACTAGAAATAATATGAAAATGGATGAATCTTCCTGCAATATACATGTAAAATAGTGGAAATCATCTAGGTTTCATATATATATGAACAAGATGCTGCTAAGATATGTGATGTCACTCATCCTAAACCCTTCTGTATGCAATCTTTGCATTCAGTACTTAGAGATGGCATAATGGGGAGTTGCACAGTGAAGTCCTTGTTCCAAAAATAAATAATTCTGTTTCCAATGTAACATCTATCCCATTCATTAGGTATGTAAAAAACAAATCTGCATCTGCAATAAATGAAAAGGAAGAGTCTAGCACAAAGAGGAGATCTGGAAATGCTGTACACTCCAAACTGGTATAAACCTTTTCACTGTTTTAATTAACTCTTATAATTTACTTATTTAGCTTCCAAACTATTCAAATTTATATTGTTTCAGAGTTTTAAGTGAACTTTAATAACTAAATTTAGTACCTTCTGTATTTCATCTGGATTTGCTCTACCATCCCCAACAGACATGCTGATGTTGATACTTGTGCTGAGTCGAGATTCACTGCCACTCTCCACTGCTTCCAGCACTTTGGGAGAGACAACAGCTGGTGATGCCAGGTCTTCCAACAGATCCAGCATCTCATCTGCATACTGCTCAAATTGTGAGAATGATTCAAATGCAGCCATGCATCCAGTGCGCTGGCAGTTGGTAAGTGAGAGAGGAGCTTCAGGTGGTTCACCAGAAGTATCTGTCCTTCTTTTGTTATGCGGTATCCTGTGATACAGTAGCTAAAGTTAACAAACTGAGACTTGGCTATTTGGAGCACAGCATCCTTTAGTGAAATATATTCATTTAAAAAAATCTTTATGCATTACCTAATAAACCCAACTACCTTCCATAGTGCAAGACATACATTTGTGGCTGTTCAGAGCCCCATATGCAGAAATTGGATATATCCATAGCTTAAAAAAATTGCAAGAAACCAACATCTGTGTCATAACAAGTTGTCGTAAGTCACAGCAGATGATGCTGACATTCAGAGGAAGTAATTGTAATACCACAATATGAAACAGAAGGCAGGATTTATATATTACAAGACTGCAGGAACCCACTGTTTACTGTATGTGCATAGTACCAGTCATAGACAACGTGGTGTTTGTTTTTCTGTTTATTTACTAAACATGTGATGATGAAATAGAGTCTATCTCAGGTATTAGTATTGAAAGTATATCAGACAGTTCTGATGTTAGTGATTGTGAAATAAGTGATGCTGATGAGAGCAAGAGTTGTACAAATGACAGTGAGCATAGTAGGCATGACAGATAAATTATTTTGACTGTAGACCAAGCACAACCATTCCAACGCAAAATATTGAATGCAAAGTAGTTATACCATCAATTTTTGATTGGACAACTCAGCCTGTTGAATATTGCAACCTTTGATCTGGAATTATTGAACCTCATCCTAAACAAAACAACACTGAATGGAAACAAAAATAAAATGCAAAATATGCCTCATCATTTTTGCAACTGCAAATTTACATTAAAATGTTGACATCACATATTAATGCTGGTAATGAAGCATCTACAAGGTAGAACTACACTATTATAATATCTCTTCTAGTAAAATAATTTTGAATAGTGTTATGGATATTATATAATAATATTAATTTTTACAAAGAAGTATTTGCTTACAGATAAAAGAATGTTACTTGGGAAGAGTTAACTCTCTGACAGTAGGTATTATTTCAGGTAGTAGGCCTACATAACATCAAGGTTAAAAACTGCTAACTCCAAAGCCAATCAATTCTACACTGAAAACTTTACATCTGGGCACAGCAGTCATTTTTCAGTGATTACATATTTTTTGTAAACATAGCTTATTTTGGCTGAAGCATGAAGCTGGCCATGCATTTAGTGCAGAGATTAATGGTGTGCGAAGTTATACCTCCACTATGCACATATGTCTTTAAGATATCGTACTTAATAAAGTATAACTTTTGTGTGCCAACTATTGGCAAAATAAAGTCTAAAATGTCTGGAATCAACTCAGTTCTGTGGCCAAAACTGTAACTGTGGAGAAAAATATACAAAGTTATGAAAAGACACATGCAAGAAAATGAAATATTATAGGTCCCACCCACAATAATATCAAATTGTTTCCCATCTCGAATGGTTCGTGTTCTCTCTGTAAATTTAGAAGCTACGTGGTAGGCCTACCTATTTGGATGTGCTGATGGTAACAGAAACTGGAAATGTATAACACTGATTTCTCCAGAAAGTTCAAGCAGCTGGAGACATGTCAGTTCGTACGAGATGTATGCTCGCCTGACATACACCTGAAAACAGTGCAGCAAAATGTATTCAGAGGAAAGTTTAGTTAATAGTCTTCTGGGTTGTAAACCAATGGTCTGGAGAAACATGCTGCCTTAATCATCAGGGTTGAAGTGAGGAGAATTAGGAACTTGGTGGGTTATACAGAGTTAGGTTGAGCTTCAGGCATCTTCCTTTGAAACACTGGTCAACAATCAGAATACTATACAGCACAGCAAAACACAAGACCACAATATTATAACTGTTTAACAGCGAGAAACAGTGCTACTACTGCAAAGCTCACATTCAAAACACAAAACTTGCAACAGCATGGCAGCCAAACTCTTCACACTAAACGGCAGCATTATGCCACAGCTAAAAAAGAATATTATTCTTTGACGTTAACTAAGCTGAATGTCACTGTATAAAGTAATGAACGAACATCTGAGAGAAGCTGAATGTCACAGCATGAGTTAAGAAGAAATTGAAGAGCAGTGACAGACTGAAAAGTATTTCAGAACTGATACATACATAAGTAAGTATATGAATACACTACATATAAAATAATATTCTTGTGCACTTTTGTGTACTTTCATAGCTATTGTACTTATGCAAAAGGTTCATAAACCTTTTAGGTTAGGACAAAATCTGCATCATAATGCATGTACCTTAAAACATAAGTGTTTAAATTGTTCCCTGCACTGTGTATCAAAAACTGTACAAAGATGGCAAAGTATATCTAAAAAAAACATTGCCTGACTAACCTCAAGTGAAGCATTGCACACAGCCTTATTGGAATGATAAAAGAAGTCATGAAGAATGTCAAAGATCGATGTCTCAGACATGATGAGCTTCTGCAGATTTTCTGGGTGGAAGTCATGACCATACATGTCTACTGCTGAGAGGAAGATGGATTCCATCTGATTATGACGAAGCTCATATGCTGGTTGGTGAGCTGCTATCAGAACCTGGTGCCCAACATAACAACATAAAATGTACAAGACACATTCTGTGTATACTCTGTACAATGACAAATTTTATGCTTTTCATGCATTCTTTGCACAAAGAGCATGATATAGCCATTTCCCTGGACACCCCCCCCCCCAACCTCGGTGATCTAGCTTGAGAAACCCAAGGGTTTCCGACCAACAAAGGCAAAGCCTATGGGAGACAAAGCCATGAGACCAAGCCCTGAAGGCAAAGCCCCAGGGTGACACAAGCTGAAGGAGCTAAAGGCCTTGGGAAAAGGAGCCCACTTGGAGCAAAACTGCAGATGAAATATTGTGGTTGGGTGGGTGGGGCGAAGGACGCTCCAAGTACAGTCCCCAGATTCACCTTGCCCTTTGGAATCCTAAGTCTAACAGAACATAGTATGAGGTCTAGTACATACTTGTCTGGCTCTGAGAGCAACTCTGGAATGTTCACTTCTGTTGAGAGATGTCAATTCATTCAGAGTTGTTGCAAGCTCATCCGTAAGACCTGGCTCATTGGACCACAGGTGATCAATCAGCATTGTAACCAACATGTTCTTCTTGGCAACCTGTGCATAACAAACAGATGTCACTGTTCAAAAAACAAGCTATATAGCAGGAACAAGTATAGGACACGTAAGTTCCTCTTACCTGAGCATGGGAGAAGATAGTTGCAGTGACTGCTGCCATGTCATCCTTATTTCTGTCTCTTATTGCTGTCACGCATTTGTCATAGCTGCCTGTAACCATCATATAATTATAAGTACATGCAGCAATCCCATCATAGAGTGTGTTCATTGATAAAGTTCTAAATAGCAGTCTCTTCCTGGCTCCTTGCAGGAACTTTCTCCCAAGCGAACTCTTCCCTCCAGGTACTCCGACAAAAATTTTGCAAACATTTCCCCATCTTTTGGGTGTGTGAAACATAAACTACCACACATCTCATACTCCTTGATTTTATCACACTAGTGACATCATTATTATAAACTTCTGAATAAATAACACAAATTTAGAGCCAAAATATTGTTACAAACTCATCAAACTCAAAACACACACACACAGCTCCAAAGAGCCTGAAGTTATGTGACTAAAAATGTAAAACAGGAGTGTCCAGTGTACTGAAATCTATATAAAAAAGAGACTCGTTCTCTTCCTTTAAAAATATGATATTTCAAGAAAGTAGCCCTTGAAATTTCAGTATACTCTACTGGTTTATCTATCACATGTGAGAGAGATAGTAAATTAACGCAGCTAACACAACTTTTCAGAGGGTTACGGCACCTTGCTGGAACTGGCTCTCCACTGCATAATACTGTCGCAAGAGTTCGTGGACTGCTGACTTCATGCGACCGCGAATGCCATTACGATATCGTTGCACCAGTTGCACGATGCTCTGTGTTGTAAGGAAGAACACATCCCGGTCCGCTCTCTTCTGAAGTGTGGCTGCATGGCTAGAAACAAGAAGCATACCCCTACAAGCTAACCAGGCTATTTATTTAATGATGTGTTAAGCAAAGAACTGTATTTATCTATGGATTATTTAACATTTTTCTGATGGATCAGATTTTATAGCATCAAATTATAAGATGACTAGGGAATAATGAGTTGGAAAGAATGTAGAAAGAAGCAGTTGTGGCCTAACTTTGGGTACAAATCTGTGTGTTAAAAGTCTGTTAGAAGTAAAAGTAGATTAGAGGGGTAGCAGGGGTCCAAACTATAAACAGTATTTCTCAGTAGCAGTATCTTGTACCTCACTGTCTCAGTTCCTATGTTACACATGTCTTCGGTTTGCAAAGTACAAGCATTTGATGAGAAATGCATATGTCTTTGGTTTGTAAAGTACAAGCATTTGATGAGAAATGCATATAAAATTTTTGTTAAAATGCCTGAAGGGAAGAGACTACTAGAAAGACCTAGATGCAGCTGGGAGGATATCAAAATAAATCTTATGGAAATAGGAATGGAGGGTGTGAAATGGATTCATCTGGCTCATACAAGGACTCTGAACTGGAGTCAGTCATTTAATTTTAGAGTCATCTCAGATTTTAAACTGTGTTTCATGCAGATACATATGTAAATTTTTTGTGTAATATGTGGAAATAATTCTATCAGCAGGATATTACATTACCTGTCAATGACGCTAGCAATTTGTTGGCTGGGAAACTGTGCAAGTACAGACGTAATATTGCGTTCATACAGTGCCATAAGTTTTCTAATTTTCTTCTCCACCGAGATAGGTATGCGGCCAGATATAGAGGCAATGACTTCCTGTAGAAACATTAAAACATTTTAATTAGTAGAAAGTAAGACTGTTAAAACTGACTAATATTATTTAAATTGTGCACCCACCTGTAATTCTAATAGAGGTAGGCTTGGATCTCGAAGTGAGCTCATAAATTTCTCTATGACTTCTCGTAATCTAGCTTGGTGGTATGGATCCGGAAGGCAGTAACCTATGAAGAAGTGAAAAATATCACTATGTTAATGGCATTCTCATTAATAGCATTACTAATATGAGGATAACATCACTGAATGAGATAAGTAGATGTTCATGAATGGAAGATAAAGTCATTAGAATCCATGTCTAGGTAAAAGTTACCCATGACAGTGTTTTCTTTGAAAAAGAAGGGGCCATAAAATTTCTCCTTTGAAATGGTACAGAACACATTCACTTTTGCTGAATCTCTTTTGTGCTCCAGGGTGACATGAGGATTTTCTGTTCCCCAAACACAGACATTATGACAGTAAATTTTACCATTAATGTGGAAAGTCACCTTGTCATTAAAACTGAACCTTGTGGGCGAGTCGTCGACCTTTCAAACATGGCTAGGATCTCGTGGCAGAATCTGTATCATATGGTTTCATAAGTAAATGCTTATCCAGAATTTTTAGATGACTGTTTGTGGCAGCTGCAACTCAAAGACTCACCCAATGGGCTGAGTTTTGTTGGCTGCATTGCAAAAGTCTGAACATGGTCCACAGTTGCATCACACACAAAGGGCCAACCAGGACTCTTGCCTTTGCAAGTGAACCCTTCCTTGTACCAGGCGCAAATGGATACTTGGCTTGGTGGCTCCATGTGAAATTGTGTGCAAAATGCACGTTACAGACTCTTTCTTCGCTAACTGAAGATCACACCAACACCAACTTCAAAACTAGTGGCATCTAGCAGATGTACCAATAACAACATTCACCTGGGTCATTTGAAACAAAACTTTGAGAGTTTTTCTATGAACTGGCAAGGGTGTGAAGTTCTAAGTAGGTTGTATGTTTTTTCTGAAAAATTTTGAAAGTTATTTTGTGCTCACTCTTTCACTGTGTATGGTATAAAACATTGAGTTAAACAATTTTATTCAGCTTTAGAAGGTTAAGATCTTACTGTTCATGTTTAATGAAAATAACCCACCTGACAGAATATTCTCCAGCATGACACGGTAGCTAGCATGCACATGGTTCAATTTATCTCCCACAACAGGTGTCGACACTTCCAATTCAGGAAACTGACCCTTGTAGTCTTGTGCCTTCGTTACAAGTGAAGCGTCATCCAGTTCGAGATGCGCGATAAGAGACCCAGCGTCCAGCACAGCACCAGGCCTCTTCACATAGAACACACTGCCTGCTTCACTTGCAGTCAGTGTCATCACCATCTTCATCACCTGGAAAAACACATCCAACCGTCAAATTTAATGGTACAATTATATTTTTTCATAATGCATGAACTTCCTTTCAATGCATGAACACATATTTTGAAGGTAATGCCTTTAAATCCTTCCATCTGCAGGTTTCATTTCCAAAACCACCTAAAAGAGTTCAATTAAACTTGGCATAGGATATTTATTCTACAAGAATGACATCATGATATGAAGTATCCAATTCATTTCCATAAAAATCTGCTTATGTTTTCTACTGATCTGGCAGCTGAGAGCATTCTTTATGGTAGTGTTCAAGCATGGTGAGATGCAAGATCAAACAATATGTATTCCTTCTTGAAAATTATGAGTTATAAGAAGTTTCAAAAAGATAATGCACCAGCACACACTGCAGAAAATTCAGTGTAATCTGTATGGACTGTTTTTTGATAAATGAATAATTATTAAGATTGTAATCAGCAACATTCCATGGATCTAAATGTGTGAAATTTTTATCTTTAGGAAAACTTTCAACAGAATGCTTACAGGAAAAAAAAAACTTTGATGGTTTAAAGATCAAAATTCACAACATTTTTTTTAAAAAATCAGGGAAGGTGGACTTAACAAGTGTTACAGAATTTGTTGCACTGTTGTGAAATGTACTCTATATAACAGGCAGTAATAAAACTGAAAATAAAGAAATGAACCACCCCTGCACGATGTAGAGAAACTGCCACTAGTAAAAATTAAGTTACAATTGTAAGATTTTCAGGTTCTCACGTTGGCATGTACGAAGATGACTGCCTTCTGAGATGTTGCACTGTGGAGTCTGGAAGAAGTTAACCAATGTTTCAAATCTGCTTATTGCTTCTATAAGGGCCCTTATCTGAAATATCAGTAAACTTCCAAAAAAACTAACGGTGCAAATTAAAAAAAAAACACAGTCATCTTCAATTTGTATTAGATTTAAATGTAATTTTCAAGTGTACATTTAACTTCTTGTTGTGTTCTAAGTCTTGAGTGCATCAGAGTCAACAACAAATCAACCAATCAATCTAATAAAATATCAAAATAAAATGTGTATTACTGACATAATGTTTCATTCAACTGTCCATACTGGAATCAGTACTACAAAATGACAGTGTTTCCAGCTCACCTCTATTTCTGCATATGCCTGTCCTGCATTCACGTGACCACCATCTTCTATCAGATAATTCAACAGTTTACCAGCAGAAGGAGAGCGAAGTAGTGAAGGATCATTCTCTTTTTCAAACACACATGTCTGATTGCCTACCACAATACGGTACCGGTCCACCTCTTCACGCATGTATGTCGTGAAACTAGAGCCATCCACAGATAAAAGGATACCTAGCAAGAAATATACGTTATATTGAGATATATATTAGTCATTACTTCCATACTTTAGCCATATCACTGCTATGATGTATAGCAGTTTTTCCAATGTATAAGCACACACTTCCACCAAGTACTGTATCGACCTGAATATAAGCAACATCTCTTCTCACAAAATTGATGTTTTTAAGCCTGGGTGATGGCATTGCTTTAGAACACGCTGTTAAAGTATTGCATGCTGATGTGGATAATAATGCTGAAGTACGAGATTTACAAACTGTAGAACAGTAATGTGTTTACAATTTAAGTCTTAAGATGGCTGTCATATAGTATGTGGGAACTATCAAAAATAAGAAAGCCACCAAAATGTTCAGAATAGATTAAACGAATGTGTGCCATTGGCTACTGATTAAGTATAAGCTGCTAAACACAATGTTCACGAAAACAACTTTCAGAGTGCAGAAGCACGACAAGAATTCAGAAGTTCACAAACAACAGCTTTCGTTTGTGTGAAAAAGAAAAGACAGTAGACCTATCAGCTGCAAAAATATTCACTTTAAAGCATTATCAGTTTTCAGCCAGATGAGATACTGTACAGCAAATTCAAAGCAAGTACTGGTCAGTGTTGTTGCTTTATGAAACAAAGCAGTCTTGAAGAGTAACGGTAGCATAATGGGTTCCATCACATTTTGATGGACAGCTCATTGCCTTCCAGTGGACAATTATTGCACTTCAGGCAAAAAGCAAAATAATTGGATTATGGGGCAGGAAATGAAGCTAAAATGTCAGTTTTCTTCAATGTGTCCAGCAACACTTCTGTGACAAATAAATGCAAAAGGCCAGCACTTTAAAGAATCATAGAAAAACAGTTCAGAACAGCAGCCATGTTAGCCGTCATGGTTAGCAGCCATAAATTGAAATCTTACATCATATTCAATTACAATTCCAAAACAAGATTTTCCTAATGGGACTGTGGTATGTATAAAAAATGGCTGGATGACAAAGGAATTAGCGACTGATTGGTTGTGTCAGTCATTCAAAAGAGGAGGCCTGGTGCTGTCCTAAAATGGTGGGCTATCTTACTCCTGCGGATGCTTTTAAATGACACCTCACCCCTGAAGTGAAAATAAAGATCATGTCTCTGAAAATCGACTTAGCAGCGATACCACACCATAAAACTTCTCATCTGCAATGCTCAAATTCGAGGCAAATGGATGATCTGTGATGATATATATTACCTGTAATTCTCTGTGATGATGGATGACACTATTGCCTGTGATGACATCACTTTTAGTAAAGTTATCATCGCTCATGAAGGCATCATCACCCATATGTGCATAATAACTCAAATGGCTGGATGGATTTTCAAGAAGACAGGAAGTCTAACACTATACCTCATTCTGAGTCAGCTCACTTCTTCACTGCCTCTTCCTCAACAACCATAATTAGCATTACCCTCCAATCTGAGTGGTCTCTTCAGTTGAGGTTCCCCATGCATGCTACACATTCTGCCCATTTTATCCTTCTTGATTACAAGGCCCTAATAATATCTGGCAAAGAGTAAAATCTTTCCTAATTGCATTATTAAATAGTACATTCCCACTGAAAAGTAGTCTTCAGATAATAAATTAAAAATTTCACAATACACAGCAAAATGTAGCATTAATGAATGATAGGACTATCACTACTTTGTCCCGCACCATAGCCGCGCGGTCTGAGGCATCACGCTTCAGACAGGTGATATGGAATGCGCGCTGGTTCGAGTCTCGGGGAAAGAAATTTTTCATGAGATTTTCGACCGGTGCCAACCCAGCATCGTGAGGAAATTGGGGAGCTACAATAGTAGCGTAATACGGTCATGAAAACTAGCAATGGCTGGGGGTTCGTCGTGCTGACCACACGTCACCCTATATCTGAATGATCTTTCACCTCTGCTTAGGCATGTGAACGTGAGGCCAGCAGCCAGCTAGTCGGCTTAGGCTCTCAGAGGGCTGTTACGCCACGGAGTATTATTATCACTACTTTAACATCAGAATCATGCACATTTGCAAATAAAGAAACCAAACTTTGTTATGCTTAAAAAACATATTAGAAACTGGTGCATATATGATGGACTTTCTCTGCCTACATCTTTAGTCTGACAGCGATCATACCTCCATCTGACATGCGATGAACTTCTATCTCCTTCCAGGACCCATTCATCACAAGAAAGTATGAGTTGGGACCAGACTTGGTGGCCTGTACTTTGTACTTAAATCCTTCATGGATAAGCTCGACATCCATTGTGTTGGATAGCGTATTAGAACCCTGGATTTGGCCCCTAGAAAACAAGTTTCAGAAGAAACTTACAAATGCACTTCCCTTTTAGTACTTAAAATTAACCCAGTGTCATGCAATCATTGTAGTACATCGAGTAACCTAATATTAGTATTTGTTTCCACCATTTCAAGCATTATAATGCTTTGTAAATGAATGGAGAGAAACAGTGGTCTGCACATCATTAGGAAATAACTGCCCCCAATACAACTTTGGAACTTTTACCTCGGGAATTCTAAAAAAAACCTTAGACTGCCTTAAAAAATAAGAACATTTGGCAATGCAGCCAAACTATACCCCTAGTCCAGCAGATAATATGTTACACTGCATGCCACATCATTCTATTCCAAGACGTTAGTAAGTTCAATTACATAACACTAACCTCTCCAAAGATGTTTGGAAATGCTGGAATGAATTAAGCACAGTTCTGTCTCCTATATGCAGTGCCCCACAAATTACACCCAGCATGATGTCAGGTTTCTCAGCCTGTACTCTCTCTGCTATCAGCACATCCAACCAGGCTGTGTCAATGGAATTATCCTGGAAACTTGGTGTCTCCAGGAGTTTAATCAAATACTCCACTGTTGTACGGAAATCTCCTCTGATGGATAATTCCTTCAATGCAATCACGAGGTTCCTATTGTACAAACAGCAGCATGTCAGAGTTCTTATCATAATATGATTCAGAAACTGGGATCTACAGATAAAGGTATATGAGTTACCATTGTTTGAAAAAATTACACATGAAGGTAACTGGGAATAGGCAGGTAGAGGACATGTTCTATCCAAGATCCTGGCACTAGACTCAGAAGAGTGGCCAGCTTCATGAGTTGACATTTACCTAGAGAGACTCAGAAGCACACATAAGTCTAAGTTAGTAGAGCCAGTTTCTGTGCCACAATTCAAGATCCTGATTAAAAAACAGAAGCACAAAACATACAATGCAATATGCAATAAGATTATGGGACAGCTGAAATGGCTTACTCTCTGGCTTGCTCCCTGTTCTCACCCCATGAGAAACAGTGTCCAAACTGTGAGTCAGCAAATTCATGCAACCCTCCAGATGCTGCCACACTAAAGTAGCCCCATACATTCTTTGACGATCTGAAGTTCAGTTCTTGAACCGTTCCAGAACTAGGCTTGAAACCTGGAAAAATACATATAGCATATATTTAAACAATGAAAACCACATAATTGTTGTAGATAACTCAATTAAGTAAACTAATGTTGATGTTTCTTTTCTAAAGCTCTTACTGCAAGCACATTCCTAAATGTAATGGTAAACTTGCCAAGATATTTCACAAATTTGAATATAACTTACAACAGAAACTTGTGCGTCTATAAACAAGAAGCATGTGCATGATTTGCATCAAACAAAATGGACGATGGCAGACCTGACAGATCATGTCCCAACAGCTCAACTGTATAATTAGGATGTAAAATGTTACGTCCAATTCCAATAATTTTAAGTCAAAAAACCACATACCTTCATCAGGATTCTCACTCGTGATACGTGCTGCAATCACATGACCCCATGGCTGTGGCTTGTGACGGGGGTTATCAAAATCTATAGGTGAATCACCCCACGGAGTCTCTCCATACAACTGACGAATATCCTTGATGCGACTTAAGGGAAGACCCATTGAAATCTGCAGTCAGAGACCCAACACTCTACATACATAATTTTATAAAACCATGGATAACCAACTGGTATTAGGTATCTTCAAAGAATCAATAAGGATTCAACTGTTTACAAAATTCATTGTCGTATTGTAAATAAAAATTCATCACAATCACTACACATTAAGCTGAATGCTGGGTGATATTCTAATCTTGTTCACTTACCAAAAACCTGTTTTGCAAAATGCATTTTAATGGTATTTTTCCACCTGTACCCCAGTCCCTGTAGTGGCCACCTTCTATTATATATTTTAATTAGTTTTTATATAGGTTATATTTCTTTGTTGCTATTTATGTAACATTGGAACTCAATACAAGATCATTAATTTATCTAAAAATATTACATAGGAAGTATAAATTTTACAATTTTTCCAACACCACTGTTAGTTTATTTCACTTTGGTCCAAAATTTCTCCTCAGCACTTTATTCATTACATTGTGTCAAATAAGCTGCAAGGTTAAGCAATGTACCAAACTGCATTCAGAAATAATGATACCTCTGTGTAGTCACAGATGGTTCACTATAAGGCAATTTTATAATTTGGCATACTGCTACTGATTTCAATTAACTGTATATGAGGAAACCCTGGCCAAAGATTACATTACAGTAAAACCTCTCTAAGTTGGACACTTGGGGTTCCACGAAAATGTGTCCAACTTACAGAGGTGTCCAAGATAGAGGAAAAGAGAAAAATCTGACTGTGGTCTAATGGCAATATAATCTATTTACTTACATACACTAACTACTGTAGGCTAACTTGAATTAATAATTAATGACAATAGTATTGATAATAATCTTTTGAAGCCCACTCCCATGCATTGCACATTACACCCCAGCCTCAATAACATTTTCTAAAGTTAATTCCACCAATTTTCACTTCCCCATCGCAAAAGGAAAAATTCCATTTCTGTTAACACAGTCTGAACTCAAATGCAAGCACAGTACTGAAGGAGATAAAACTGTGTCTTCTGCAATACTGTAGTCCAGTTAAGGGTTCATAGTTAAACACTTGCAATGCATTCCAGTGATGGGTTCAATGTCCTTAAGATAATCCTCCAAAGACAAGGAATTCATCAGTCAGAAACTCAAAATAACAAAATATGAACTGAAAAAGTTTCTCTGAAAAGCATCGAAGTTAAGTGCAAGAACCTGTCCAACTTACAACAAAAGAGGTGTTCAAGTTCCAGGATAAAGGGGTGTCCAATGGACATGTAAAATTATATGATATTCACTGGTTCCAATTAAAAGTGTCCAATATAAAGGGGTGTCCAACTTGAGGGGTTTTACTTCACAACAATCGGCAAATTTAATTCCTTGCTTCAAAAGCAGTCATACATAATACCAGAAATATCTGGGTTGGCCTTGAATTGTCAGATGCTAAATGAATATATCAAGAATATGTTAGCCACTCCACAATTCTGAACGTACCACTACTTGACAGAATAGGACAACTTTGAAGAGATATCTTTCATATTACTCATTTATCACAAGCAGAATTCTTATGTAAATCAGAATGAATTTTTAAATTCAAGTACAGTGTTAAAAAAGATGTAAATGTTGAATCAAATGCACAGACTTAAACAGCAGTCTTGGCCTGTAGCCAGTTACTCACACAGAAACTGTAAACAGTACCTTCGCTAATTTATTTATTTTATTTAGTGTTCTGTCTGACGACAGGTCCATATGAACAGGATCCTTCCATCCTTTTCTCGGACTGGGACCTGTTCATATACGTTCTTGGCAGATGATCCAGAAGTGGTTTGCCATTGCCTTCTTCTGTGTGTGAGTGGAGTAATTGTTGGGATGCCACGGAGAAACCGGGGAAGCCCCCGGAGGAAAACTCCGTGTTGCCTAGACCACGGCCTTGCCCAACACAAATTATAAATCCCCTCACCGCCGGGAATCGAACCCGAGACCCCAGGATTACAAGGCCAGCGTTCTAACCGCTAGACCACCGTGGCGTCATACCTTCACTAATAGACAAGAAAAAAGATTCACTTGCTGGTTGCCGACTCACCTGCAGCTGTGCAGCTGGTAGGTTCACATCTGCCACCATCTCAGTACAAGGATGCTCTACTTGCAGTCTAGGATTCAATTCCAAGAAGTAGTAATTACCATCTGTATCATACAGGTACTCAACCGTGCCTGCACTCACGTAGCCAACCATTTTAGCCAGCCGAACTGCAGCCTATACACACTCGACACGTTAGAAATTACGAACTTATAATTTCAAACAAGAGGTTTATTAGAGCACTATATATTTACATGACTATAACACAAGGTTCTTCGCTGTTATTTCCATTACAATTTGGGAATCTTCTAGTATTTGAAAATGATAAATAAATATATGAAAAAAATAAATATTATTCAATATCTGAGTAAACAGGTATTTGACAACTGTGACGTGTCTCAAAACTCACATATCCATAGATAGTCTACATATTTCCAAAGCAGTAATCATTAGATTTTTGTTACCATTACCGACATATTAGTAGCAACTTATACACTTCCATGTATTTTTAACGCGTTGGATCAGAGTTAGCAGTGTTTTGAGGGACGTGTCATAATTATGTAATATCCGTCAGACTGTTATTTCTATGGTCTTTGTTCCTACCAGTATTTACTGAAAAGAGTTAAGCGTGAAGCAGAACATTGGCTTTGGAAATAACATATTGATTCTGATATTTGGAAATAACATACTGATAAGAGTTTGCAAGTGTCCGGGTATACCATAACTGCAAAAGACCATGTGGAAGCAGAAGCAACTCACACTACACAGAGTCCTTCAGTCTTGTATACAGTTATCAGGTACATCAAAGAGACCAATAATTGTAAAGCCTGAAGTACAGCATCTCTCAGACCAATATGTGCTAATGGAAGGACAATTACCAAGTGTAAGTTATGCCATCTAACTGTTTAGACCTAAAACTGGTCACTATGAAGAGTGGAGAAAGAAATTTACATTTGAGAAAGATAACTGAAAGTAAGAATTTTATCCTCCTAAGTAACTGAATTATTTCTGCCCAGTTTGTACCCAATGATAAATGACAAGACACTTCATCTATAAAAATTCGGAATTCAAGAGAGACAAAATTGCATCTGTCCACCTTTTCCATATCCTCAAACACCTCTGGTTTGGCAATGACAGCAGGAGCCTCCTCTATAATCTTTTGATGGCGACGCTGGATGGAACAGTCACGCCCAAACAGGGAAATGGCATTTCCATACTGGTCAGCCAATAGTTGAACTTCCAGATGACGAGCACAGCGGGCTAGCTTCATCACAAAGATGGGTGACCCTGGGACTTCTGCTTGAACCTTGTAAAACAGTGCATCCAATAACATTAACTAACTTAATGGTACAGGATCATCTTGAGCTATTTATACTTATTCAGCTGTTCAAGGAATTCCCCATTATAAATACGATTTGATCATTCACCAAAGAGCACCACTGAATGCCATCTTCAGCCACTGAAATCCAGTTCATCGTTTCAGTATTCAGTAATCTTCCTTCCTTATGAGATGTTGGTATCAAACACACTTTCAATACTTCTGTCAGTAAGAATAACAATTTTAAGTTCTTTTCATATGTCACTATAATTTCAGCAGATAAATTTTCAGTTTGTCATAGCTGAAATAGCTGTAACTTTACAACCCTTGAATTCTATTCCCAATTCTATTTTCTGTTTCAATGATTACTGCATACACAATATGAACCTTGGAACTCTGTTAACTTAGAGTCATATCTTTGCTTTCTTTATAAGATACGTATGTATGTAAATATAGTAGTAATGGAAAATATCCTTGGTGGCATTACAAATATATTCAACACAGGTTAGCAATTTTATTGTTTGATACAGTAGTGTTTAAACAAACTGCATAAAATTTATTTTTCTTTCCTAGTATTTTGCTTACAACTTGGACTGTATGCTAATTTTGTTCATACAGCTATTCAAGGCATGTATTTTAAACACGCATGTTTATGTAATTCAAAGTTTAATAAATTATTTCCATGTGCAACTCTATTTTCTTTACATGCAAGTAGCTAGCCTAAAAACAAAAAGCAAATACAAATACCACCTTAATAGTCCTTCTACGTCAAGAAACTTTTCTATATGATTTCATATAGTTTGTTTTCTCACACACACACACACACACAAGACTAAAACCTCAAATTTACTGTATATTATTACTAAATTAATTTATTATAACAAAAACATAAAACAAACATAGAACAATGTCTTCTGTAATAAACCTAGGCACCATCAGCGCCACATACAATTAGATTTTTATGTCAAGACCAGTGCTTTCAACATTTTGCAATAAATTTTCGAAAACTGCATCAGTGACATTCTGCATGCACAGAATGTCACTGAGACCATTCAGAAAGAAGCTTCTGAAAAAATGTGTGAGTCAATGATAATCTGTAATGGATAGATCCATTCATTATTTGAGGAAAGTATGTACACAACACATAACAAATATTTTATTTGTGGTTTATTTAATGATGCTCTCAGTAATGCAGACTATACAGCATTGAATAAAGGTTGAATAATAAATCAGAAAGGATATAGATGGCAGCAGACATGACTTAACTTGAGGTACTATCCTGACATTTGCCAGAAGGGAATAAGGGAAACCACAGAAACCCTCAGTCAGGACAGCTGGAATCCAGGCTAAGAACTGAACCTGGGACATCTCAAATATGAAGTAAGACATCTAACTACTCCAGTGTCACGTTTTGTAGCACATAATGGAGATATAATTATTTACAATAAATATTATAAAAATAATGCATGACCTCCACTACAAAATAAGTAAATATTTGTATTATATCACCTACCAATAAAACATAAAACGTATGAAAATCTGAACATACCCCAATTTTGACTAAATTTAACCATAGCATGGAGACAAAACTCAACTTCCAGAGACTTCAGCAAAAAACCAGAGAGGCAGTAATCCTAAGCAAAGGAATTTGTAAAAAGTTATCAAATTTTGTTCTAATTGGTTACTTTTACATACCTGTCTGAAAGCAGAGGCAAATTCTTCAGAGGCTTCCACCTTACGGATACCTTTCCCACCACCACCTTCACTGGCCTTGATCATTACAGGGAAGCCAATTTTCTGTGCCGCTAGCAGTCCTTCCTCCGGATTACTCACACACCCCTTCTTATACAGGTCTGAAGAGATCTTAATTTTCTTCCCTATATATTGCGCCTTCAGTTCTATAAACAGGAATAACAACTGTCGCATTACTTCTGCTAACATCTGCACGTTCCAGAAAATACTATGATCTATTCATTCTTTCAGTATGGAGTAGAACCTCGTGACAGCAAATTAACCGATACGTGTATTTCATAATTTGCCATACATACTCACACAAAGATACTGTCACATTAAGTAGTAATTGCAGTAGCTATCCTCTGTAGAAACATGTCACCATGAAATACTGTAACTCTCATTATTTTCTTGTATGATCACAGTGGCTACTGTGTTCCGCCCCTTCCACTCTGCTGTTTGTCTACCTGCACAAGAACTCTGTCTTACCTTACAAACTTTATCTACATGCATATGTTCCTACAATTATTCAGCAAGATAGAAACAAAACCTCAGAACAGGTGCCCTTTCAGTCAAAGGAAGCACCATTCTGTTTATTATAAGTTACTATTCTGATTATCATGGAAGTTCAGCCACTTCTAACAGGATTATATTCCAAGAAGTTAGGGGCATGGGATTTTTCTCTTTATCACTACATCCAGAACAGTTCTGGGTCCAATTCAGTATCTTAGCCAAGGAGTCAGAGAGTGATGATAAACACACATCATCATTTAGTGCTCAGGTTAAGAATCTAAATATTCTACAAGCCTTCAACGTTCACCAGTGTTCACAGAAACCTACCAATGGAACCCATCCTGAGCCAATTTAGCCTAGTTCTTCACAACCTATTTCTCTAATATCCATTTCAATAATACCTTCTACCAGGTCGTGCCTTCAATGAATATTTTTCCAAACAAAATCTTGTATGCATTTACTACTGAGTCTGTGTGTTGTATGTACTACCAGACACACTTTCTTGATTTTATTACCTTGTAATGAGAACAGTATGAGTTCATTATGCAATTTGTTCTATGCCTCTATTACATTACCATTACCAAACTAAATGTACTTTAAATATATTTATTTTTACAGTCCATACACAAACATTGAAGTTTATTGATGTTGTTAAGATTATATAATATTAAAACATTTTGTTGTATAAAATATTATATTTGGCGCTCTTAATCGTACATACGATTTTACATTATATTACAAATTATGTTACAAATTAAATGTACTTTATCACATTATTTTAGAAATGTTATAAACTTTCCAAGGATGAAAAAACGAAAAGAAAACAAAATAATTAGCCAAGTAATGTACCTACAAACTTCCAACATGTAATGAAATTTTAAACAAGCATACGACAAACATGTCAGTATACTGATTAGATCCAAGGTCAGAAGCGACTACGATCTTCATCATTATGACAAAAATACATTTTGCAAGCTTAAAATAATTTACTTAGCAAATAATGAACTCACCATTTCCAGACCATGGTAATGTTGGAACTTCAGCAGTCTGGGCTACAAAGTTAGATGCAATCTTGTCACCTAATGCCCACATAGCCTTCTCTGATGGACCTATGAAGGAAATGTTGTTTTTGTGCAGCAGCTCTGGTAATTTTGGGTTCTCAGAAGCATGACCCCAGCCTGCCCAAACAGCCTGTCAAACAAGACAATTTTCACTGAAAATTCTCATGATCACATGTTTGTATCTGACAAAATGTCGGTCTACATACCGACATCAACCAATTTCAAACATACAGTTAATCCCATATTTCCAACAGTGGAAGATGTTTCGAAACCTCAATCAAAGCCTCGGACAGACGGACCTAACAGAGGACCGAATGGAAGAGGAGAATTGAGGAGGCCATGGACCGAATACTCAGTCAAAGGAAGCACCATTCTGTTTATTATAAGTTACTATTCTGATTATCATGGAAGTTCAGCCACTTCTAACAGGATTATATTCCAAGAAGTTAGGGGCATGGGATTTTTCTCTTTATCACTACATCCAGAACAGTTCTGGGTCCAATTCAGTATCTTAGCCAAGGAGTCAGAGAGTGATGATAAACACACATCATCATTTAGTGCTCAGGTTAAGAATCTAAATATTCTACAAGCCTTCAACGTTCACCAGTGTTCACAGAAACCTACCAATGGAACCCATCCTGAGCCAATTTAGCCTAGTTCTTCACAACCTATTTCTCTAATATCCATTTCAATAATACCTTCTACCAGGTCGTGCCTTCAATGAATATTTTTCCAAACAAAATCTTGTATGCATTTACTACTGAGTCTGTGTGTTGTATGTACTACCAGACACACTTTCTTGATTTTATTACCTTGTAATGAGAACAGTATGAGTTCATTATGCAATTTGTTCTATGCCTCTATTACATTACCATTACCAAACTAAATGTACTTTAAATATATTTATTTTTACAGTCCATACACAAACATTGAAGTTTATTGATGTTGTTAAGATTATATAATATTAAAACATTTTGTTGTATAAAATATTATATTTGGCGCTCTTAATCGTACATACGATTTTACATTATATTACAAATTATGTTACAAATTAAATGTACTTTATCACATTATTTTAGAAATGTTATAAACTTTCCAAGGATGAAAAAACGAAAAGAAAACAAAATAATTAGCCAAGTAATGTACCTACAAACTTCCAACATGTAATGAAATTTTAAACAAGCATACGACAAACATGTCAGTATACTGATTAGATCCAAGGTCAGAAGCGACTACGATCTTCATCATTATGACAAAAATACATTTTGCAAGCTTAAAATAATTTACTTAGCAAATAATGAACTCACCATTTCCAGACCATGGTAATGTTGGAACTTCAGCAGTCTGGGCTACAAAGTTAGATGCAATCTTGTCACCTAATGCCCACATAGCCTTCTCTGATGGACCTATGAAGGAAATGTTGTTTTTGTGCAGCAGCTCTGGTAATTTTGGGTTCTCAGAAGCATGACCCCAGCCTGCCCAAACAGCCTGTCAAACAAGACAATTTTCACTGAAAATTCTCATGATCACATGTTTGTATCTGACAAAATGTCGGTCTACATACCGACATCAACCAATTTCAAACATACAGTTAATCCCATATTTCCAACAGTGGAAGATGTTTCGAAACCTCAATCAAAGCCTCGGACAGACGGACCTAACAGAGGACCGAATGGAAGAGGAGAATTGAGGAGGCCATGGACCGAATACGGACCAGACAGCCATAGAAGAAGAAGAATAATAAGAAGAAGAAATACTATTTAGTTACCAGTAAACTTTGTACTCAAAGATACATTGTTTTCAAGGTAAGAAGTGTCAAACACTGAATTTGTCTCTATGAACATAAACATGTGCAACACACTTATTTGTGACTCTGCCGTCACATAAAGTATTTAAGTCCAAATTACATAGCAATGACTCAGCACTCTCATTACTCCAAGGACACCAACATATCAATACTGTGCCCTCTACATGTAAAGTGTCACTACAAGATATTGCCCTAATGCAAACTAGTCTCAAGCTCTGTATTAAGCCCCGCAAGAACACTTCGTTCTGTCATTCTTCACAGTTGGCCAATTTCTTCACAAACCCTATCCTAGCGATTACTGCAGCCAGGGATACACCTTGCCCCATGGCTGTATCAGTACCAATATTCACTACAGGCACTACCACTGCCCACTCCATTCCTAATATTGTCATGAATATCTCTTCGACCAAGGCTAAGCTGGTTAATCATTTGCTTGCTCAATAACACATAATACCTGGAGAAGCTTGAAGTGGTTAATATTTTGAACTTGAATTAATTAACTCAGATAATTTGGTGTCTGGAATACCCTGGGGTCATCAACGACCATCTGCCAGTAATTATTTACATCCAAGGGGTCCTACAAGCACAAAAGTTTTGGCAGGATAACCACTAGAGCTTCATCACTATTATTACATTAATATGTGATACCTGAACTTGGGTTCGGTTTGCGATGTCTACGATGAGTTCCACGTTGGCATAATTATTATTGTTAGAACCTCCAGGTACAGGAACATAATGATCTGCCATCTTGATATACTCTGCATTAGCTAAATTGACAAAAATAGAATAATAATTTACTTTGCATTAGATAATACAAGGCAAAAAGATAATTTTTGTGCCTAAGGTCTAGTGGAAATCAATACACATAACTAATGCTGTATGTAGTATGATACAATATTGAAGACGTTTCCTACCACATTGGGACTTATATTAGAAGCCATACAGTATAAAATAAAGAAAACAAGACACTGTCACAAAAAATTAAAGAAATTATAAATGTGATAAGTAATTTAGTTTTTTTAAAAAAAAATCATCATTATTCATACAGTCAAAAGCTTTTGCTAAATCACAGAAAAGTCCCCCAACATTATTTTTTTGTGTAAAGTGAAGATTTCACGGCGACTGAAATTGAGGAAAGACCCTTGGGCTACAAGTCATGTCAGGTAGCTGAACAACAATCTCTGTTCTCATCATAAATATTAGTGTCTCATTCTGTATTTTATTTACACATGTTAGAGGAAGAGGGAGAGAGGTCTGGGTCTATGAAAAATGCCACAAAAAACAAACTCTCATCACTCCAAGAACCCTTTCCTTGAAAAATCAGAATATGGAAACATCCATTCCAAGAATTTCTCCCCCATGAGTTTCTTTTCTCATTCTCATTGGCTCAACTAATCTGGCCAATCACAAAACAATTCCCTTTTGAAAAGAAAGGAAAGGAAGCTAGTAATTCAAGTTTCTTTGCACAGACTTTTGCATTATGCGTTAAACATACAATGGTAACTGATTCTATAACTAGACGTCACGAGACAAATAGGCCCACAACAGTATAGCTCATACACAAACTTCTTGTGGACTCACCTTACAAGCCCAAAACCCTAATGACAGATCTTGAATGCCCGAAATATTTACACTGACTCACTCTCAGACGGATCACTGGAATTAAAACTTTTTATTTACTAAAAATTTACTTAAAACTATGCTCACAGAGACTGACATACCTTTCAAATCCTCCGGGGTGACCATGACAACAAATCGAACTGCTCTCTCATTCCTGAACATCTCATAGGACCATCGTCTAATAGAACGCATGCATTTGACTGCGGCAATGCCATTGTTGGCGATTAAAACCTGTAAAGTACAACATGGCACATAAAGTTGTTAGTTCTCAAGTTTCAGCCAAAATGACATAAGTCAGGCAACATGAATATGTCATTTTACCTTGTTGATAACCTTCGTTCCACCAAATCTTCTAACAAATTCTTCAGGTGTTCCAACAGTGAAGTCTTTTTCTTGTTTTGGCTGGACCACGACCGTACCTTGTGACATGCTTGGTCTGTAAAAAATTAATTACGAAATTATCAGGATTCTTTTAATATTTCCATCACAACTTTCCCAACACTATCATGAAAATAGATGAGTTGATTCCATGGGCGACTTGCATTTGAGATTTATCCTGACAAAATCTCAGCCAGGCCAACAGTAATCCTGAGATTTCTCATGCTTTTCTCAGTCCCTTTTGAAGAACAAAACCTCGAAAGAGACTACAACTACTTCCTTCCCAGTCCTAACTCATCAAACATCATGAACTATATGTACAACCTCGTTCATGACTACATAATCCCTGCTGTTGATACAGCAGTGTTAAACAACCTAAAACCACCCAAAACAATGATGATTTAAAAAAAATCTTCAGCCCAGTCACCCGTCTTCCACTGTAAATCCATTAATATATTCTAGAGCAACAATAAAATTTAGTAAACAGGATTTGTGGTTCTCGCGGCAGTGAGTCTAAAGATGGCTGTCTTCTGGGTTGTTCTGCCATGTCATTAGGGCGATGAAGCAGCAAGGACCTCTGAAACGTCGGTAAGCGTCTACCAGACTACACAGTGCAACAACCCAGAAGAAGCCATCTTCATGATAAATTTAATGAATTACTAATCATTAATTAAATAAACGGTGTGTAAGGTTCAACAGTCATTTTCTATAAAGCAAATAAAACAGGCAGGGCTCTTGTTGAGCCAGGGTGGTCGATGGAGGCTTCAGTGCATTTCTAGTGCCAGAGTGCGACCCCGGCTCTACTTTTAACAACAATGTAAAATATTGGCAGTACAGTATAACAGAAAGGGGTAATGAGCTGCCCCCTTCATACGACTGAATAACTAACTAACTCCCTGGTAGCAGAACCCGCAGGTTCAACACCGACAACACCAAAGCCCACCACCGGCCACGATCCTGAGCCAACTCCGTCCATTTGTCATCCTCACAGCCCACCTCCTTAAGATCCATCTTGATGTTATCCTCCCATCTCCTTCTTGCTCTAACCATTGGTCGTTCTCCAGAAGGATTCCCTACCAAAATCCTGTATGCACCTCTTCCCCCCCCCCATGCATGCTATATGTCCAGCCAATCGAAACCTCCTAGATTTTGCTATCCTCACTATGCTAGGTGACCTGTACAATTCATGCAGCTTCTCGTTATGCAATATTCTAAATTCCCCACTTATTTCATCCCACCTTGGTCAAATATCATAAAATCCAAAATATTATATAGTATAAAATTCAGACAGAATCTAAGTTCTTGCAGTTTCCTGACTTTCCAAGGGGGGCCGCCTCTTTAGTGCGTGTGTTTCATGAATAGTTTATTTCTCACTTCTACACAAAAGATACACGACTTGGAGCCTTGCATTCTGTTACATTTTCAACACATGCCGTGTTTTTTAATTCCGCATCATGGTGGAGGTCTCCGTCTTTTTATACCTCTTTACATATCTCTAGACACTTTATAAAGCAATCAGAATTACCAATTAATTTTAAAAATACACAACAATTGAATTACCTGTGCTTTTATATAATGTCTGCCTTTAAGTCATAACATTCGGAAGTGCAGTTCTGGTAATTAAACACTACAGCCAGGTAATGACTACGAATCCACGACATTCAAATGGGCAATTCATGTGCTCGGACACCTCGCGCCATGAGTTTTCGTTCTTAGTGCTGCCGTGTGGCATAATTTATCTTCCGATTACACAGCTGATTACAGCTCCAACCAGTTCATAAGCAATTTTCTTCACTCACTGTACTACATACTATCTAGTACAACGACAGAACACAAGTTTGCTCCGCGTCTGGGGCACTGTGCCTCACCAGTGAGACGGACTATGTTTTTCTGAGGTTAGGTGGTTTCCGACTTACCTCAGCCTTCCGCCTTCAGTCCAATCCGTCAATAAAAGATTCTCATCTGAGAATACTGGTAGGTCTGAGCCCATGTTGGTGACTCGTGTGAGCTGAGCTAACCGGATTCAGTACACGGAACCACAGTCATTCGAACTGAATATTCCTTCTGCGCTGAGTGAGCTCCCAGAACACTTGGGTTGGCAGGACAGAACGACAGGTACGTATTCACCTCAACTAGCCTTGGGGACTTCACGGCAAGCGACTGTTTCATAATCTCACTCGGCTCGTGTGCTCATCCACAACTCTTTACTCTTTGCAATAAGAGACTCAGATATCTTTGCGCACCTGTTAAACTGGCAAACTCTTTTTGGGCAGAGCAATGGACCTGTCGTCAGACAGAACACTAAATAATAATAATAATAATATCTTAACCACACGCTCGGCACTTTACTCTGTTACTGTCTTCGGATTTTTACTTCGCGAATGCTGACATCTGACAATCGCTTATAAACTGAATGAAACGGGTGGAGCGAAAAAGTAAGAACCTCCAATATGAAATTTGGTCAAAATCAACCCAAACGAATCTCAAGTTGTGAGATGTCACCATAAAAATCCCTTCTGTTTAACTGAATCCATAAGACTAGAGGGGGAAAAAAGTATTGGACATTTATCGGAAGATTTGTTTTTCCCTTCCTTCAGCGAGTAATCTCGTGATCGGTACACGTTCGCGTAAGTTTAGGTTCCTGTTACGCAAACCTAAAAAAATATTAACTGGATTAAAAAGCAAGGTAATAAAATTACATGAAGCCGCAACTAAGTAATCATTCATTTGCGTAAAGAAAACTGAAAACGGACTGGAAATTCCTACCTCTTTAAAAAAAAAAAGTGACAGTGGAATGTAATGAAATATAATGTAATGTAATAATTCTTATATAAGTACCTGTGATATTGTAAAACGTTTTTACCAGCACAAAATTATCTACTCCACGACGCACTTCTTCTACAAGCGTTTCACAGCTCAGCTCTTTCCGCAATAACGAAAGCGGATTGTTGACGGCAATAATGTAACACAACGTAAACAGATGGCGTTTCCTAGGTAACATAACAATGCATACAAGCTGACCATTGTTGTCAGTCCATATTTACAAATTGTTGATATTTTCCTGTCACTTTTTCGTAACACTTTTTTGCGGAATGACCCTTCAATATAGACGTATTTACGTCAAAAAAGCAACAGGGACTCGGTGAAGGTTATTATTTTAGAATTCAGCTAAAATTATACAATTTTCTAGTAGCCGATCTAAGACGGGGAAGTAAAGTCTTGTATCTGATTGGACACTAATATTATCCTACCATCTACCCCTATGTTTCCCAAACTGTCTCTTTCTTTCAAGTTTACCAAACAAAATACCGTATACATGTCTTGTTTCTTGAATGCATTCAGAGTGGGGTCGGACGTGAATGTAAACGTATATCGACAGATGCCACTCCTGATCATGGCTTTGAATTTCAGCCAGAACAAACCTCTTCTGTCTCGGCATGTTGGCAACATGGTCGCTGCTGCACACGACACTTTCTTTCCACCACTTTACCTGACACACAACTTGTTTTCATTCGAACACAACCCTCGGTCCTCTACACTCAATGCGACACTACACGCTGACGTTGGCAACCTGACGAGTGTCTGTCTGCTTAGAAAGGAAAAAAAGAAACTTTAAAAACGAGCGGCACTTCGGAAGCATCACGCTGTGGGTTCACTTGTATGGAGTATGGAAAGCAAATGCCACATACATTCTGTGTTCCTGCTGTTTTGAAGGTAGGCGATTCGTAACTAGGGGCAAATTCCGTTGGTACACGTGTTATATGGCCCTAGTCACGAGATAACAAATATCGTTATTTGGATTATCGGCACAGAACAGTGCATTCAGTTTACTTTCAGGTAGTTTTCACGCTTTGAACACTCCTCATTTCAAGGTTACGGAATGTTGAGGGCAGTATCTCCTTGTCCCAGTCGAATGTCCTGAATTTTTAAATATAAAACCCCAAAGTTTTCACGGCGACAAAATCCAATTAGTTAACATTATTTCGCGTGATCAGCTGCAATGATACAAAGTAAGAATCCTACCTTTCGACTACCGTCTCCGTCATCAGGGTGGTGTCCGATCATGTCTCCGTTGTTAGCGACTTACGTTTCTGACTGATCAGTCACTGATGATGGAGACAGTCTCCGAAACGTCGAATTTGTAATCACGTCTATCCGGTAGACCGTCTGAGTCTTTATTGCAGGAGCAGTTAATGGTAATTTAAGACAAAGTTAACAAATTAAGGACGTGTGATGCAGGCCATTTCAAAAAATGTGATCCTGGCGACCGAGTCATGCTACTACAGCCGCTCTCGACTTTGGTTCAGGAAGTCTGGGGTGGTCGATCGAGGTGTCATATAGTCTTAGGACCACGGAAGCGCTGAGAAACCGGGGTTAAATCTCCCTTGCTAGTCTACGTGTTCTGTACTGTGGCGTAATGGCACATGCCTTGGGAATGGCTGATCCCCTATGCAAGGAATACTATTTAAGTAAAAGTTGAGACAGACCACAGAACCAAATCCGTAAAAGAATATAAAGAAAGGTATCATTTAATTTTTATGTCTTAATTTTCGAATAACTAACACTATTCACATTAATTACAATTAATTCACAGCTCACTCACCAGGTACCTCTGAACAGCAAAGAACGAATAGAGACGTATTTCTTCACACGCCAAAATAATCACGTACGTAGGTATAAGGAGAGAGCAAACAAGAGTTTCAACAAGCGAATGTACACATTTTTTCCTTCGTATACCAGGAACTCGTCAAATGTGTTTGTCACGTGTCTCGCATCCATTCTACATGGCCAGCCCCACCTATCGTATTTATTTGTTCAACGACGTTGTGAATGGTGCGTATGGTTGGTGATTAATTAATTAGAAACGATGTAGAAGGAAGCAAGTGTGGCTTCGATTTGCCTGGGGGAACTGAGGACAACCATGAAAAAACAAAGCTAGAACAACTGGCCTCCGTACCGAGAATTTAGGGCTCTTAAATGAGAAACAGAAAAAAGGTTACCCACCGGATAAAGGCATCCAGAGGGTTCCTAAACTGGAATAACAGTATCTGGAGGGGA